CTCTCTCTCTCTCTCTCTCTCTCTCTCTCTCTGCCTTTGAATTACTCATTGATTGTATTTAACGACTGATTGCAGGACAACAACAATCGCGTGAACCGAAAACCCGGTCTGAATGGCAGCAACCGTTGGATGAAGTGGTCTGAGTGTGAGTCCAAGTCTAAGGAGTCGTTAGAGGAGATCGCAGTGAACGGGTCGGTGGAGAGCGCCGTCAGTGACGCCGACGCCATCGCATGGAGTCATGTGAGCGGCGATTACGCGACGGTTGCCGAAGACTCGTTCAAACACTTCACAGAATACGTGCATAAGTTTCGGAGTCGACAGAAAATGTTCGAACAGTTATCGCAGTTAGAGTTCCCGATCTTCGTCTACATCTTCATCGAGATCTACGAATACGACAAAATGGACGGTAAGACAGATATGATTGCGTCCATTGGTTGTGATCTTATGATTGTGTTGTTTCTCTCCCCCAACAGCTCGTCGTTTCCTTCGCGACCATAAAAGTCGTTTCAAAGAGTCGGTGGAAATACAGACAATTGAATTGATGAACAAATCACTGAATTCAGCGTCGATTGAATCGAGTCTCAAAAAATACAAAACAACCAAATATTGTGTTAAAATTTCTGACAAGTGTTTGGAAATTATCAAAAAGCATTTAAAAGTAAGAATTGCTTCTCTTATTGTATATTAAGAATTAATATTAATATAAATGTCATTGATTTACAGGAAAAGAATGATCTCATAATCATTGATATCATTAACAAATCTATTGACTGTAATATATATTCAACTCATAATCAAAATCAGCCGGAATTGACTGAAAAGCGTGTTGAAAAGTGTCCACAATTTATGGACACAGAATCGCTGTCCGTAACAGACGTCCAATTAAGTCAAACACAGAGCCAAGACTTGCAAGACTTTATGCAATGTGTAGATAGGCTTCGAAACAGTCCTCCCTCTCGGTTCCCGATCCGCACGTTTACCGTCAATAGTGAGGACTTGTGCTGTGCGGCCGTCACCGACGATATGAGCGCTCTGGCGCTGGGCTTCACTGACTCGACCATTAGTTTGAAAAAATTTGGGCAAAACTTTAACCGCGAATCGCGTTTTGAACTCAAGAGGAATGTCTGCGATATACGACTCAATCTCATCGAACACGACATCGAAGACGTGAACAATGATCGTGAAGATGACGATAATGACGACTACTGCCATACTTCTGGTGCCATAAACGGCGTCAATACTTGTGATACAAACGAGTCGCCGACGGGTGACGTTCGTGAAGATGCTTACCGTACACTCCGCGGTCACAGCGGACCCGTTTTGGGACTTAAATTTTGCCCCCAAACGGACATATTGTTGTCGTGCTCTACGGACACAACTGTGCGCGCATGGGATGCCACGTCTGGCCATAACGTGTCGCTATATAACCATCACAGGTCTTCTGTGTGGGCATTGGATGCGAGTCTCGTGGGAAATATGTTCTGTTCCGCCGGTGATGAATGTGTGGCATATCTCTGGTCTCTGGAGCACTCGCAGCCGATCCGCATGTTTGTCACTAATTCTTCGTGTGTCTATTGCGTCCGTTTTCATCACAACTGTAANGGCCATAACGTGTCGCTATATAACCATCACAGGTCTTCTGTGTGGGCATTGGATGCGAGTCTCGTGGGAAATATGTTCTGTTCCGCCGGTGATGAATGTGTGGCATATCTCTGGTCTCTGGAGCACTCGCAGCCGATCCGCATGTTTGTCACTAATTCTTCGTGTGTCTATTGCGTCCGTTTTCATCACAACTGTAAATACATTGCGTTCGCCGACAAAGAGATCACTCTATGGGACATAAACAACGCACAAGAAGTTCGCACATTCGTTGGTCACGACGCGCCCGTCAATAGTCTCGCGTTTTCCCTTTGCGGCCACTATTTGGCCTCTGGAGGAGAGGACAGGAAAGTGATTGTGTGGGACATCAGCACCGGTAGAGCGTACTTTCTTATATGCCCTGTGTGCTTGAGGTAAATATCGGATACAAAGTTAGTGTTGTTATGAGATGAGTCAAGAACGCCACGCCTAGTCTGCGACTCTGAGACCTTAGAATTCTTATATTACTGAGGATTCGCTAATAAACCACTTGTGGTCACCGATACAGACGCCAACCAAAACACGTAAATATTAATTGATTAGAAAATGTTTGAATCCTTTAAAACATGTCTTTGTTTTGTTCTTCATTTTTATAGCTTTCGCATAGATTCGGATCAATTCATGTCATATCAGATGAACTCAAATGTGATTCATTCCCAGTTTTTGCCACGAAATCTGTTGCTAACAATCGGCAAAAAGAGTTAACTTAATTCTCATTAACACATATTTCGACATCAATTAATCGTTAAATTCGTTTTCTATTAATTTATTTTTAAAATTAAAATACATTTTTTATAATAAAAAACAACAAAAATAAATTCCTATCCAATTGTAAATTAATTGTTGACACATTTGGTTGTGTTGTTGTTGTTATAGATTTAAAAGCAATTGATTTAGAGTCCCAACCATTATCTCCTACTGTTTCGCGCTTTTTGTAGTTTCAGTACTTTCCTCATGAGTGGTGCGACCTTTGGTTCTGGTATTGGTTTTTGGAGATAATTTGTTATCAAATATTTGCTATTAAACAATACAATCGCACCATTATTTCAATGCACTTACTTTCTGGAACTATTTTAACGTATTGTGAAGAATAACCTCCGGAACCACCGCCGCCACCACCACCTGAAGAGCCGTACGACTGACTGATACCCGAGCGCTCCTGTTTGCGGAGTATTTCGCGCGGAGTCTTGACGTTCTCCGAGAATTGTGTTTGTCTTACTATAGGATGACAACAATGGGTACGTAATGTTATAAAACTATTTACTATACAAATCAGTGATTGTGTGACAAACCGGGCAATGCTTTCTGCTGTTTATTAGAGATAAATTTAGTGATGTTCTTAAGCCGGTTATCCCTTTCTTGGCCGCACCTTAAGTACAATTCGCGCCAACACTCGTCCTCTTC